GCGGGCGCGGCCAGCTTCCCGCCCCAGCTGCCTGCCCGGGGCTCAGGAAGCCCGTGCCCGCCTCGGGCCGGCCTCCTCGCCCAGTCCCGTCCCGTCCGTCCCCCGCCTCCGATCGCGCCTCCTCACTGAAGTTATCTCATTAGCAGCAATGGTGTCTTGTTATTCAGTATTACCGGCTCCAAGTAGATGCTAGGTAGGTTCGAACCCATGTTCACCCACACAAAGCAATCTGCTAGGCCATTTCTCTTAAGAACAGATCCCAGACCATTTAACATTGATGTCCTTGTGAGACTTAAAATTTAAGAAGTGGCATCCGGGGCTGGAAAGGTGGCTCAGTGGTAGCGTGATTGCCTCACATGCATAAGGCCCTGAGTTCGATTTCCTCTGCACCACATAAATAGAAAAGGCCAGAAGTGGTGCTGTGGTTCAAGTGGTAGAGCGCTAGCCTTGAGCTGAAGAGCGGAGGGACAGCGCCCAGGCCCTGAGTTCAAGCCCCATGACCAACAACAACAACAAAAAAGGTGGCAACCTTAGGTGTGCAGGTTTGGCTCAGTAGAAATCTGGACAGCAAACTCAAAACCCTGAGTTCAAAGAGGAATGGATGGAGCATCTTAAGCTCTACCAGGTGACTGCTGAATTGGCTGGCTACACATGCACCAGGCTTTGAACTCGGCCTGGGTTCTATCCTTTGGCTTTTTCTGCTCAAGTCTAGTGCTCTACCACTTGAGCCACCATTCCACTTCTGGCTTTTTGCTGGTTAGTTGGAGATAAGAGTTTCATGGACTTTCCAGCCAAGGCTGGCTTTGAACCACAATCCTCAGATCTCAACGTCCTGAACAGCTAGGATTATAGACGTGAGCCACTTCTCCCAGGCAAGCAGGACTTTCTGAAACAGTTTGTTTTGATTTTGAGACAGGATCCGGCTGTGTAGCCAGGCTGGCTCAGAACTGGAGATCCTCTTGCCTTTCCCACCAGAGTACTGGGAGTAAGCCAATGCTTTTATGTTCTATCAACACACACACACACACATACCCCACTCACGCACAAACACATACACACAAATCAGAAATAGGCGCTACCTTGGATTTACATGAACTCTCACCTGCCACAGGTGACCTTGAATTGTCTCCAGAAATTCAACGGATCCAGATTAGACTCCCAGAGAATGAGGGCTGTGATTTGGTCCTTCTCATCCCGGTGCCTTTGCCTTTCCACTCCAGAAGTGACATTCTAGGTCTTACCTAGTGGGAAGAGATGCTTTTTCCTTTCTCTTGGGCATCTTTCCAGACCTGAATAGATCCTGATTCTTGGAGTGCTTTGAGATGGGCAATTTTAAGGAACTGGGAAGAAACAGCATGTCTTAGTATTGTTTGTAAAGAACTGAAATTAAGCCTGGGGGTGTAGCTTAGTGGTAAACTGATTACCTATGATAGACGAGGCACTTCAGTTAATATAATCAGTACAATTAGTAGGCATTAGTTTAAAATATATTGAATACCCAACATTAAAAAAGAGGGCTGGGAAGGTGGCTCAGTGGTAGAGCGCTTGCCTTGCATGCATGAGGCCCTGGGTTCGATTCCTCAGCACCACATAAGCAGGAAAAAAAAAAGCCAGAAGTGGCGCTGTGGCTCAAGTGGTAGAGCACTAGCCTTGAGTTGAAGAGCTGAGGGACAGTGCCCAGGCCCAGAGTTCAGGCCCCATGACCGGACCCCCCCAAAAAAAAGATTATGAGCTACGTGCCAGTGGCTCACGCCTGTAATCCTAGCTACTCTGGAGGTTAAGATCTGAGGATCACAGTTCAAAGC